GCTTCTTGTCGAGGAGTTATGGTTAGTTTGTATTGTGTTGATATCTATGCATTGGTTTTCAAACTGGCAGGATTATTTCTAACTTAGCACGCTTCTTTACTTGTGATCTGTATCAATAAGCGTATATTTGCCAAGAAGGTGAAGCACGTGAAGAAGGTAGGCAGTTTGACAGTTGTGGTGACGTAACGTCAGCTGAGATTGTACGAGAACTTTGAAGTTGCGTGATTAACTTATGTAATCAGTTAGCACAAACAGTTAGCATTTTATATTCTGTAATTCTTTTATGAAGTAATACAACTGTTGTCAGATAGCTATGATGTTATGTCTTGTGAAAAGCAGTAGGAACTGGTTTATCAAACTTTGAAGGATTTCACGAGGAAAAATGTGTTTGAAAAAACAAAACTATTTAACTTTGTTGACGCTCATGGCATTTCTTAGCTTTTACTTCCTATGTAGGCCTATTGGTTATTGCTCGAAAAATCACCTGAACACAAGATTGATCGATGATATAAATTTCCTGGATTTATCAACATATAATATTCACAATACAGTTCATGTCAGGAAGCTGTTATAATCGGATCAAGTTATTGAAATCAGGAACCTACACAATCATTACTATTGGTTCAAGTTGATATTGAAGTTGTCAAGAAGCTACAATAGCGGTTACTGGAGATCAGATTATTGTTGAAATCCAGGTCCCAAGAAATTGTAATATTAGTTACTGACGTATCAGATTATTGTTGAAGTTCAGGTGCCTAGAAGCTGGTATAGTTTTAGTTAATTTACATCAGATTACCATTGAAGTTTAGGTGCTAAGAAGCTGTAGTAGTATTTATTAGATTTACTTCCGCAGGGTCCCCGAAAGTGTTCTGTTTCAAGAATAAATAAAACCAAAATTAAGAGTAACATATATTTTTATTTTTTGCTTTTGTATTCTTATGTCATGATGTACTGTAGCTTACAGAGTGCATAATTCGTCTCGTCATTTATGGCATGTGCATGTTTTACTAACGTCACAACGGTACAAATTGCACTGTTAAACGTCCCTTATGTGACGTCATTTTAGTGTCTGTTGACTGACTGACAGACAACACACTGCTGTATTGCGGTGCGAGTGGTTAGAACAGGTAACCCCTCCAGGCAGCCTTCGTCCCTCTTTCGAGGAACTAGAGTTTAAGGTTATTTTTGAAGTCCAAGTGCCAAAAAGCTGTAGTATTAGCTACTTGATATCAGATTATTGCTGAAGTTGTCAGGAAACAGTTACATCACACCATTCTCCTAACTACTTCATTATCTGCTGTTCCTAGAATTGCGTGGTGTCTACTTCCGTATTTGGCTCCATATGTTTATGCATCAAAACTGGTTCCCTTTCTAATTTAGCCACAACCATGCGATGTTATTTGTTCTGTTTCTTCTAGGTTGTCTGTAACCTTACACAGTCAGAGCATTTAGTATAATATCACGAGGTAGCCTCCAGCAAAGTGCAATTTATCGTATAAAATATTTCCATGTATTGGAGAGAAAACGTGTCAATATACAAAATAAGATTAAGTTTTATTTTTTAGCAACGTTGAAAATAGATTTGTTTGATAATGTATTGCTTTCGTTTTGAAATAACATTTGTGAAAATATTTACACTGGCTTTTCACTGTCAAACATTCTTATGATCTACACTAGTTTGTTTTGTGTACGTATCTGGAAACCTTATGTAATATATGTTGTAAATGTTTCTTGTTGCATGGTGTCAGCTCTGTGTCTGCAAAGACCTGTAGTCAGACTTAACCGACAAGCTCTAATACCATTACTAAAAATACTAGTTATTCATCAACTCGAAAATCTTTGTGTAATTTATTGTTGATAAAATATTAAACTAGAAATATGAACTTGTACCCCGTTTATATTCTACTCGTTGCTACTTTTGTATCGGTGATCAGAATAGATTCGTGGTTTGTCACTCTTGAGTCTAACCTCTCAGTCCTTGCTTTTAACGACAAATTTTGAAATCATGGCTTCCACTTTGTTAGGCTTCGCTAACCAGCTGTCCTTGCGTGAACTTCTGCTTCATCTGAAGGCACAAGTGACTTGCACGTGCCGGTGAGCGCCAGCTGCTGTGTCATTCCAACACCTGCCTTTCTGCCGTTGGCTTGACCTAACCGTCTTTCTTTGGGCCACAACTTCTTGCGTGAGGGAATAGCAGTATTAAGACAAATTTCTTGTTTTGCCATAGTATTGTACTAGTTTTTCTTTTGTTTCTTTGAATATTTTAAGATTATATACGTAATATAAATGTGTACTAGCTGAAAATGACGTCATTAGTTTTAGTAACAAGCGCTTAAAACAGCACGTGGGATTTTGTGATTCACTTGTATTAACGTCATGAAATACGTTGAAAGCTATTGTGAATAGTAATATGGCATAACAAAATATATAATTGTGGCACGTTAAAACAAGTGCCTGAATTAGAAAAGGTGTTATTTACGTGTAAAAATCTAAACTCGCTATTTACGTGTAACAGTCTTATTTGTGAATAAAGATTTGTTTCCACTGCTAATCGTGGGTAAATTTATACTCTTCATTACAGAGCATAGTATAAGATAAAAACTTTTTTTTTCTGTATGTAAAACTACATCCCGACCTCACTTGTAATCGCTTATTTACTTATATATTTGTGCTAGCTATAAATCTACCTAAATTGGCAAAAACCAAACGCCATTTAATGTTATCATTTCTCTGCATCTCTGCTACCCAAGCGAGCACACAGTTAAACTACAAGACACGAAATTTCATCAACGGTCTTTACAAAGTTGTAATTACGGGCAGCACAACTTTGGAACTTCTGATTAAAGAGAGCCTAGTGTTACGTATTAGAATTTCAAATAGCCTGAAATTGAGTTAACTGATACATTTAAGTTTAGTAGTTCAATTAAAGCCGATATATATATAGTCAGTTTATGATATTTGTTAACAAGATTGATACACACAGTTTTCCTTTTAAACACAAATACGTTTTAATATACACGCAACAATACAATTTACAATAACAATTAAAACAAATAGTTATTACAAACAATGATTTATAAACAAAAGTTTCACAAACTGACAAACAATATAAAGTATTTCTAGTTTCGAACTTCCTTGATATATTATCTAGGGTTCACAAACTGACAAACAATATAGTCTTCTTTCTAGTTTGAAACTTCCTTGATATATTATCTAGGGTTCACGATGAGCGAGTTGATATAGGTACAATTCACTTGGTAGAGAGCTAGCTAGCCCTGTAGTTCTCGCTGATCACACGCCGTTTACATAGCGAGTTTCACCGATGACGTTGGTAATGTTTTCGTAAAAATACTAATGTCCGATGAGAATCTACTGAAGTTAAACGATTTGTAATGTTCGAACTTTGTAAAAGTTCCTGGTCAAATATCTGAAGTTTTCCGATTGGTAAGCGTTATAACAATCACAGTTATAGCTTCCGAAGTTTATAGCACACTGACTATTGCGAACTAATAATAGATACTCCCTTTGGCGCGTCGCGTTGGTTATATTTATAGCCGTGTGGAGGCGTTCTAGAAATTTCAGTTTTATGTAACAATACTGAGCTACATTTAAGCGTTTACGTATATAGATATATTGTTGATTCTCACTCTCGAGAATCTTCTACAACTTTGAAGAATAGGCGGGAGTTTCGCAATACATATTTAACACCATAAGCTACACATGTTTCAAAATATAAACTTAATATAAACAAATTCGTTACACTAAATATTACACACAATTTTCCTAGCTTAACTAATAAACTTTGTCGAGTTATTCTTGTTTTAATACTTTCACATTAGCTATTTATAAATAAATATACTTATTTATGTAGTGTGGGTCTATATCCAATTTCTTTGACTGATTTTTATAATCTCCCTCCCATTTGAGTCTCAGCATTTTCCTTACAAATGTTTATCGTATTACATTAACTTCTGTTTAACATACAGTTTGTGTATCTGATGTAGATGGAATGTGTATTCCGAGTTGTTTATGATATATTATTATTCATCACTTCTGTGGTTGTATTGTTTATTAGTAGACTACGTTTTTCGACTCACGAATCTGCTTCTGATATAACAGTAGTGTAAAATGTTTAACACCTGCCACACGAACCAGCCCAGCATCTGAGCTTAAGAGGAGTGTCATTCCGGAAATCGATGATTTAGGGTTACTTCTGTAGTTCACAATGAATGACGTTCGGCACAACTTCTGAAACGAAAAACAAAGAAACCAAATATTAATGAAAATATGAAAGCTATATGTATTATACTGTGCTGGGCATTATACCATCCTTCTTATATTTACTCTTCATTATAATGCATCTGCTTCAACTTCAACACAGCATCTTTCGCCTTTGCTGTGCTGTTAGTTTCACAAAATATTGAAACTAATGATTTCTTATACATAATTCCAATCCCCTTTTTGAAGATAACAATACTATTGTGCCCGTTTTGTGTTTTGCTGTCAATGCAGTAATCAATTGACGAATCGTCGATTAAGCTGGTATGCCAAATCGACTGTAATTTCTACAAATAAGTTCTTCCCTCGTCCGACATGGACTCAGGGTTTAGCTTAATCGCTACACTTAAACCATCACATTCACATTTAGAACGTTTCATTGCTACATCGTTTTACTTTACATTTACAAGTCAGCTTATCAATGTTGGCTCTCATAGTCTAGGTCCAGCGACCTAGATCTCGAAAATAGTGTCAAATGCCTTCTTTTTGTCTAATCAAAGCAACCCAAACATCAAAATGCCGGGCTGGCTCGTGTGGCAGGGGGTTAAAGAACGCTGTTACAATGCATTCTTCGTTCGTGTTACATAAAAAATCTTGAAACAAAACCATTTGTTCTAACTTCAAAAATATGGCTAGATAGTACATTTAGAGAACAGGCTAAAAACAAAGAATATTAATTTTGCCAATTTTTTTTGTTTTTTGACGTTATTTTGTTTCTCTAGGCTGCCATTCTACAGCACACAACAGAGTATATTTATCAACTAGAGCAAGAAAAAACCAAACTCTTATCTCAAAACTGCCAATTGAAAAGACTCCTGAACTCCCAGCTGGTCCTAGACAATGACTGTAGCAATTCAGGCTCTCCTTTGCCCAAACGAAAAAAAATTCAACATTGTAAGTGACTAGAAGCAATGGAACTCCGATATATCTAGAAATTGTTAAATTATATTTTTAAGCAACATTGTGCTACTACATTAAGAGTAAAAAACATAAGCGACGTTTTATAGCACAATGAAAGATAAAATCTTTATCAAAAATGTTTTTCAGCCGAATAGCTTGGATAACACAGTTACCATGAGCTGGGCTAGTGACTACGTATATTAACCACAATCCATGATTATGGTAATTGTGTTATCAGGACAAGAGTAAGCATTTATCGTTGTTTTTTTTGTAGTTATATTAAATAGCCCTACAGAAGAGTAAACTCTCCTCATGTTTAGTTTGTATTTGTAGGAAACAGTCCAATAGAAAAACTAACATTTCATATGTTTAGTGTATTTTCATGAAATTGTCCAACAGAAGAGACATTTCTTTTGTTTAGTTTGTATTTATGTGAAATAGTTCTGCAAAAAGTAACATTTCTCCTGTTTAATTTGTATTTGTGTGAAATGTCCAGCAGAACAGCTAACATGTCTTGTATTTGTATGACATCTGTCATTTTTAGTTTATAGTCTTTCACATAGCAATGCAGTCAGACAGAATATTTACTATAGAAACATCTCGATTTTGTTTAAAGTTTTGTGAATACCATTAAATTATATTCTAATTACTCAAAAGTTAGCTTAGGTAGGATTTATTACCTTTTTTCATATTTTTCAATAATTTAATGATGCTTTTTTTGAATTAGACTTTTAAATCTTACCAATATAACTTAAAGTAGAAATGAAAGTACTACTGTATGAGTAAATCTCCATTCTTTAACTTCTAGTAGCAACTGGAGACTCTTCTGATGAAGGAATAGGAAATATGAGTCCACATGGAGAATCTGATAGCAGCTTGGAGGATGTTAAATCTGAAGTGACTGAGCTGCGCATTCAGTTGGAGAGAGAGAGGAGACTTCGAATGATGTTAGAGGAACAGACTCACAGTCTAGAAAATCAGATGTGTGTTGACCACACTACAGAGCAAATCAAATACTATAAACAGGCTTTTGAGGTATGTAAGAGTTGTATTGAAAAGGAGAAATGTTTGTTCTTTCTAGTTCATCATATCTGTCAGCTTTTAGAAAAGTCTATTTTCTAACTTTTAATTCATTACATTTTTTTTTAGTATGTGTAAAATGTGCCTGAAATGGTCTTTTTTTATTGTTTGTTCATATGGACAGTAAAGTTTCCTTTTTTGTTGTTGTTTTGGATAGTTTACAAGCTATTGAGAAAGAAAAAATTAAGCTTCAGCAAAAGAAATTTCTCTTATTTTTTCTTTCGTTTTTTCAGCCACTAACAGGAATGTCCATTGGCCAAACAACCCCACAAGAGAAATTATTCAGTGCACAAGTTAGGCTGCTTCAGACAGAATCTGTTAGCACTGAAGTTCCTCAGGATTTATCTGGGAAGAAACCTTGTCTTCACCATACTGCTGATTCTGTTGTTCAGATGTCAAGATCAGAATCCAAAGAATTGCAGAACAGCACATCCAGACAGAACTTGGAGACAATTGTTGAAGCTATTCGCCATGTAGAAGGTGATCATTTGTTTTGTGATGATCCTGAACCACCCAGGATAATCAAAACACAGCCAATCTCAGAATCCCAATTTTCCAACACATTTATTGTGCGACAGCATGTTATTCACTGTCCTCCACCAGTTACATTTCCTCGACCAGGAGTCATTGTTTCCAATCATTCATAGCAATGCTCACATTTTGTGAATCATTCTAGCAGATTATTTGTTCATGAGCTACACCTATATCTCTCTAGGTGGTCTCATAAATCAATCATGCCACCATCTTTTCCCTGTATACTCTCACTGTTTTGGGACAGCATTCTGGGCATTCTCATATTGTAATCAAATCACTACAGTTTTATTCCACATAATCCATTTTGGGACAGCATTTTGTGTGGTCTCGTGGTGTAAAGTAATCACATCATCATCATTACACTCTGTATACTCTACTCTGTCTTCGGACAGCATTCTAGACTTTATTCATCATTTTACCAAAAAATGATCTTTGTAAAATATTTTACAAAGTTATGAAAAAGTCGTTAAAGATTTAGCTGTTTCTGACAGTTTTTTGAATAAATATTTAAGTATACATGATATACATTTTTTTCTTTAAAAAAATAGTAAATGTTAATTTTTGATAGATGAGACCCAATGTTCTTGTTGCTGATGATCTTCAGTAGCACCCTTATGTTTACAATATTTTCATGGTTGAATGAGGTGTCCAGTTTATTAAGAAAAGAAATTAAAAGAGCTGAGCACAAAAATTTATGTCTAAAGGAAATTAAGTGTTTATGCTATTCAGATTGTACATATATTTGTAATATTCTTTATTGTTATTTTAATATATACATATTGCTGTTTGTTTATAACTGGGGTTAAATAAGGCTTCTCACATTGGAATTTGATGGCATTTATTAAATTATTGTTCCTATTATATGTGCTTCCTTTAAAACAAGTGTATATTTATAAGTTACAAATTCCAAAACATACTGTGTTTATTAAGCTATGGAGTGTAGTTAAGTTTTAATACATGAAAATAGAATTTTTTTTGTTTAAAAACATCATAAGTGGAAAAATTACAAACTATATCTTACTAGTTTTTATTGCAAAGTTGTTGTAAAGTGAAAATATGAACCTAAAGTGTTAGTATTTTATGCTGACCCAAAATTGCATGAAATGTGATAAAAAGATCTTCACATTTACAAAGTTATGAAAAAGTCGTTAAAGATTTAGCTGTTTCTGACAGTTTTTTGAATAAATATTAAGTATACATGATATACATTTTTTCTTTAAAAAAATAGTAAATGTTAATTTTTGATAGATGAGGCTAATTCTGATGTTTGCAAAAAATGATATTTAAACACATGGTATAATTACTAAAATGTTATAAAAGATTTGTATTGTCTCTTGTTTAATACCAAGAGAATTCAACTTTCAAATCCAGCTTGAAATGTACAAGTTAGAAATACAACTACTAACGATATTAAAAACTCACAGTTGACCTTATAATAAGAAAAGATCAGAAACAATAGCGACAAGTGTGATAAAATGTTGCACCAACAATAATCTTATTGATAGACTAAACATTTAAAGTAACCATTCAACAAACTGTTGCCTCACAAATTCTTATAAAAATGTTAATAAGCATCAGCTCTATGAAAGTTTGTGGAAGAAATCTGGTTATTGATTTTAAACAGAGCTTGTAGAAATGTGTTCCATTAAAGTATTGCTGCCATCTGGTAAAATCCTTAATACGGGAAATTTGCATTACACTGTGAGACATGAAAAAATAACATGTTCTGACCCATATTTCCATAATTAGACACACCAAATGGCCTATAATTGTTTGTCTAACTGGTAATATCCCCATAAAAGTTGTACATTTTAGTTACACAAATAGATTATACTGTACATTTGTCAAACACTGTCTATTGAATGGACATAAAAACATGAGAAACTTCCTTTCTTTCTGTCTGCAATCAATATATTAGTTCAATAATTTCTCACAATTAATACAGTAATCTGATAAAACTGAAACTTGTAAGATATCAACTGCCAGAGAAGTTTTAAAGTGACAACTGTACAAGTTTTCCAAAGCTATTGTCTAACCAGTTTCAAAGGCTTAAGTAGTATTATTCATTTCTACAAGTAAACCAACTTTGTGAAAACCCCCTTTGGAAAAATGAAAACAAAGGAGTGGGGGGAAAGCTGTGTCTCTTATATGCTACATACAGTTTTCATGCATTTGGCTTTAATACTTTTCTAGTTATGTCCACAACTAACAACACTAGTTATCATGTGTCATACAGGAAGTTTTTATTCGTTTTATAGTGGGAGTTACTCCACAATAAACTAGTAGTAGTGACTATATATCTCACAGGAAGTTTTTACTTGTTTCATTATGAGAGGTACTCCTTTAATGGTTTTATGTAACTTAAACATGAAAGTGATTTAACTTGTGATAACACAAATCAAAAAATGTTTTACTCAGATCTGTACATTTCAAGAATTTTTTTCATATATGTAACTTCAATGTTCAATCATACATCAGCTAAGCTGTATATAGATCATGTTAATAAAATATTTCTTGTAAATTTAAATTTATGCTGGTTTAGGTATCATTTACTAGTGACTCCTATTGTTCTTTCACCACTACTTCAGTTATGTTTACCACAGTTTTAAGAAACCATTTCATTCTTCCTCAGTAAATATCTGTGATATCTTAGTCTCTTACAGCACTTCTATCTCCTGATGGCAGTCTCCAAGATCTTAGGCTTTTTAATTTATCACTTTCTCCTGTTTATAGTCTAAAAACCTTTGTCTCTTTGTCAGTCCCCAAAATCACATCCTTTAAAGATTATTCTTTCTTCTTATGATAAAAGTTTCAAAAATTTAGTTTCTTACAGTAATCTGATTTTCCTTTTTGTGAAGTATACAAAACCTTACTCTCCTTTGGTGATCTCATTTTTCCTTCCTATTGGTTGTACACTTCTATTCTTTATGAAAATCTCCCTCATCATTTCTAAAAAAGAAAATCTACATTCAAAAAAATTTTTTTTACAATATTACATTTAGTGGAAGGCTGGGTGTGAGAAACAGTTGTGAATTGGTTTTTGGAGAGAGTGAACAAGAACTTAATAGCATATCTTTCTCTGAGCATTTATTGATGTAAATTTTTTTTTATAACTAACCAGTGTTAAAATATATCTAGTAAAAAGCTCCACTAATATTGAAGAATCTGTTCAAAACATTGGTTTAAGTTTAGCAGTCAAATAACTTGGAAGATAGCTTTTATAGGCAGAAACATCTGTTAGCTGAGTTCTTGCACAGATCTTAAACTATAACGTTGATAAACGGAAACATCGGCACATGTAGATCTTGAAAGTCGACTTGTTGTAAACATGAAAATAGTGTTCATGACTGGACCAACTGTTGGTTGAAATATTGCAGAGGATTGCCTTACCGGCCTATGTTGATCTGACTCATTTTATAAGCTGTACTATTTCCTATAGAGCATTTTCCAGACAGTTC